AAGATGTTCAGACTTACATAGTTCTTGTACCAAGAAGTTGGTGTTTATTGATAACTGTTTTTTTTGGATTCATCTGAAATGGGAATCAGACTGATCAGTGGTAAGTATCAAGAAAAAGTCTTGCACCTTTTTAGGCTGACAGCTATACCCTCGTACTTTCCTCTGAAAAAAGAGTGAGCGAGAGTAGAATCTGTAGAAGAAAGAACAAATGAGCCAGAAGGTGTGTGAAAGAAGAATTAGCAAAGATGTAGGACTCCTAGAAGGTGTTGTAGCACACTGCTTAGCAATTGACCTTATTAAAATTTCTAGCTTCTGATAGTCACTTTTTTTGCTCAGTTGCTGAGTATTAGCTAAGAAATATGCTGACCATAATTTCTAAACAGAAAAATCTGCACACACAATATGCTAGAGGAGACAGTGGGACAGATGATGTAAATTTAGGAAGGTCCTCAGAAAATCAATAGTGTACCAGAAGAGGGCTACTGACCCTTCAGATAACCCTGACTGATCCCTCTACTCGCTTCTAAGCTATGCTTTCTTAATGATTTGTTTTTCTAATAATTGCTGTTTACCTTTGAGTCTAGTTCTTCACTCTTAGAAGAACTTTCTGAGGAAATTAAAAGGTGTTAGATAGGCATGTGAAATAACAGGTTTAATAAAATGTCTAGCCTAACCTCTGATTTTTGGATGCCTAAGTTAAACAATATCCAGATAAAGCTGTGAAGGTTACAGTATCTAGCATGTTCCTAGAGAAGCAGTAAAATTCTATGACAAAGCCATTTGTTATTACACCGTGAATCAAAACACATTTACAGATTGTAAGGGACTATATTTCCTTTCATAGATCTTTCCTGGAATAGCACTGGGTACTTGGTGCCTACCAAATGTGTTGACTAGAAGAATATAACACTCCATGAGTATTATCCTCATCATCATCCCTTAGCCACAGTGTCATAGTGGAATTCTGGTGGCTTTTAATTCTGATTCAGGAGCTAGAAGGCAAAATTGGGTGGGACCTGGGAAGGAAGTGTAGCTAAGCTATTTAACATCTGGATAGATAGACCACGTGTTTGTGGAAGTAAACTTCTCAGCTTCCAATGGTAAAAAATATCAATTAGGATCAACTGAACAAGTCATATACAACAATTTTTCTTTTCTGGAGGCTTATAACTATTTGGGATTGCCTGTGATCCCTTTTTCTTGGTAAGTTCTGTACAGCAATTCTTTCAGCTCACTCTGTCACCAGACACTGCCACTAGATGGTGGATGTACCATACCCCAAATTGTTTCTTCAGTAGAGCTTTTCTTTTATCATTCTCCGTATTACATGGAAGAGAGTCAACCTTTGTACCCACTAAGCTATTTGAAGAGGTCCTCCGAAATAGTTAACTCAATGTTTTTAAAGCACAGCAAGTAGACTTCTGTGTTTGGATGTGCTATTTGGAAAATGGGTCAATCTGACCTAGCCTTTCTCAGATGTGATGTTAGTTCAAGAATGATGTTAGTTCAAGCACTGATGTGCACGTTGTAGGTAAAGCCGTTTGTGGGGTGGTGAGTATCCAAACACAAAAAGATCTTTAACATAGAACTTAGGATTTTCAGATACTTTTTGAACTTCAACTACCTTATCTCCTTTTTCCTCCCCCACTTCCCCATCCTACGTCATATTTAGACCTAGCATTCCTTACAGATCTACATTTGAAGAACACTCAAGTATACCAGTTAACACTTAATAGTGATTGGAAGAAATCATGATAATAGGAAGTAATGTAAACAGAACAACTTTGCAGAAGTCTTTGGATTTTATTTTTACCTAAGTGATCATATTTGGCTTAAATGCAGTGAGTCCAACTCAATTAGAAGGCTGTTATTGAAATATGATTTTACTAGAGAGAAAACTTGTCATATCCAAAAATTGCTTTTGGTGACAGTGTTTTATTTACAATGTGAAGGTGAGCAACACTCCAGGAGGTACTTCACCAAGGGGAAGACAGAGCTACTTACTAGCTGTGAAGACAGCCAGTGGCAGGAGCAGGCCTGGTGGAACCTGGCAGAGCAGCTGCATTCCACAGCAGCAGTCGTGCTATAGGTTCTCTTCAGCATGTAGTTGAGAGGTGGGAGAGAAGACAAGGTTATTATGCATCTTTGTGTAGCTGGACCACCTTATTTATAAGCAACGAGAATAGACAGCCACCCGTCCGTGTCATGGTTTCAGTTAGCATTTTGCCCGCTTCAAATATAGATCGTATTCATTATTTGAGAGATGGGGCACTGCACTGATTAGTAAGCTCCTTGCATCACAGTCTAATATTTTTAGATGGGAAAGATTTTGCTAAGCTTTAGGCTACTAACGAACTATATTAATACAAGGTGGAATTGTAGCTATTAATTCAGTTCTAAGGTGCTGAAGAAACACATTTCTATCTTGCCAGAGCTGTCTCTCTATTTTTTATTTAAAAAACTGCAAATGTTATTGCAGTTCCCTCCCCCAACTCCCCACTCCTGGCTAGATGGTGTCTGGGAATATACCCAGAACCTTTTGAAAAAAGATGAACAAGGGAGGGAATCATAACAGCCGTGAGAGGAGAGCAGCTTCCGAATAGGCTGCTCATGCCAGGAGCAAGGAGGCTGAGGAAGGAAAGGGCTGCCTCTGGAGAGTGTTAAAAGGCGTCCATGGTCTCTTGACTGTGTATTTTTTCTGCCACCAAAATAACTACATATTGGATTGAAAGTCATTACCTTGGTCCTGGATTAGTCTCTTAAGTAAAACTAGCTTTGCTGACTGCAGAAGTCATGTGAACATGCAGTGGGAAATCCTATCTAGAAGGACAGATGCTGACCTGTGGCCACCTCAGTGAATGTTTTTTTTGAAAGGCAGTTGTGCTTTTGACATTTAAGCTATTTAAAGTTTTAACACCTAAGCTAAAAATGCTGCTTGAGATGTACGAAGATATTTGTTAATCAACTTCTGGTGCAGTAGATGTTGTTTAGCTTGAGTCTATTATTATTTCTTTCTGAAATTTGATTGATTTGATCTTACCAAAGAATGAAATTTGAAAGGTTTACTCATTCTACAGATAATTATTGAATGGTTTCTATGTACAAGGTCCTTGTCTAGATGCCAGGATATGTATCTCTTTCCCTTCCATGACTTTAGTATCTGTCCTCAGACTTAATAAAACAGGCTGTGGACTCGACGTCCTCCTTACTTCACAGAGTAGCCTGAAGAAAAAAACTTGCCCAATTAAATGTTGAGCCAAGGTGAGTTTTAAATAGAAGTACCTTCAGGTTTTTCTCTCGGGCCTGCCGTATCTGTGGCTATTACTGCATGGCTATTCTCTGCTTTCATTCTTGGTGTGAAAACACAAATCTGTATTCCCTTGATTATTGCTTCATTACCTACGGAGTCCTACTGACTCAGTAACTGATTTGTTCATATTGGTGCCTGTGCCTAGGCTGCACATTTATTCTGCCAGCTGATGCTACCCTAGCTGGAAGGTACATGTTACAGAGGAGGGGAACGTTTTGCAGCTGTAGCTAATGGGGCAGTTTACTGTTCCTGGCTTCAGAATGGCTATAACCATGTTGCTAACATTATGGAGAGAAGATTTTAATCTGTAATAGCTTACATTTCCAGAGATATTTGCTAAAGACTTAGCTTAATGGATTCTCCATGGGAACTTTTTCAGATTTGGTCAGATTGTCTCAATTCAGATTCTGAAACTATTCTGTTTTTCGGGAGGCTGAAGTTTATTTTATATTTTAAAGAAAAGATTTATCAGAGTTTAAATAGGAGGTGAGGAAGAAAGTTTAAATCATTTAATAGAAGAAAGTATTTTCATACACTTTAGGAACACCCATTAATTTATCTATAAATAATATTAATTGTAAGCTACTTGCTATTTATTAAAGCTAGTTTTCCAAGTATTCTTCGAATAATTACCTAGTTCTGGTTTATTTCATTTAGGGAAGTTTTTATTTATTTATTTATTATTTATTTATTTATTGTGTGAGGAAGATCAGCCCTGAGCTAACATCCATGCTAATCTTCCTCTTTTTGCTGAGGAAGACTGGCTCTGAGCTAACATCTATTGCCAATCTTCCTCCTTTTTTTTCCCCAAAGCCCCAGTAGATAGTTGTATGTCATAGTTGCACATCCTTCTAGTTGCTGTATGTGGGATGCGGCCTCAGCATGGCTGGACAAGCGGTGCGTCGGTGCGTGCCCAGTATCCGAACCCGGGCTGCCAGTAGCGGAGCGCGTGCACTTAACTGCTAAGCCACGGGGCCAGCCCTAAGGGAGTTAGGATACAGAGTTTACCAAGTCATTATTTTCTTCCTTCAAATTAGTCCTAATTAGTTGGAATTTACTGTGGTGTGTATGTGTCTTTTAATTTCTTTTTCATTGGTATATTCTGGTATTTTACTGGATATAGAAGGTTCCGGGGATGCTACATTGGCTTTGTGAAGTATAGCTATATCATTGGACTCGGACTATTGACACCCCAATGCCCATCACCATTTCAAGGCATCTCTTCCTAATTCTTTCAGAAAACAAGACCGTTGTTAACTTCAGGATAAGACTGTGCTACAAGAGAATATTCTGAAGAAAAGAAAAAACAAGCAGGAGCACTATGAGATTATGCCTGTTTTTTGATAGAGGTGGGAGGAAGGGTAAAGGGTTTAATGTGTCAAGGTTATAAGAGAAAAGAAAACTTTATGGAATGTGGGAAGGATAAAAGAAGTTGGAGCTTATGCCCTCCCCACCCCCACCCCCCAAAAAAAATTCCTGCTGAAACAATTGGGAAGAGACAGTAATTGGAATTTTGGGAGGAGTCAGAGAGTAGCCTTTCCCCACCGTCATTTCTGGTGGAAGAGTTGCTGGCTTAGTAGGAGCCACATGATAACATTAGCTTTTAGGGAAGATAATGTATGGCCTTAAAAATGGAGCATTTCGTAGAATCCTAGTTGTAAGTTTTTAACTTTTTGTCTTCCTCTTATAGCAGATCCAGTTTGCTGATGACATGCAAGAGTTCACCAAATTCCCCACCAAGACTGGCCGAAGATCTTTGTCTCGCTCCATCTCTCAGTCTTCCACTGACAGCTACAGTTCAGGTAAGTGTGAACTTCATGCCCTCTCTGATCTCTCTTCCCTGTTCCAGAGCCTTAAGCTACTTCTCTATCCAGTGCTCTTCACTTATGCAGAATCTGAAAATACCTCATGTCAGGATTGCTCATCTTTGTGCTGAAAGCTGATAATTAGTGCGAATGTTCCCTGTCAGGCTTGTAGCTGGGGAAGCTTTTGTTATCTTGAGACTTGCTTTCTCTGACTGTCTCTGTGTGTGGTCTGTGGCCGGTGCCCGACTGGTAGTACTGGGTTGGTTCCCATTCCCACGTTTATCTGCCCACATTCCAAAGGGAGAAAATCAATGGTATTCTGGCTGACAAAACTGGCCTTGAAAAAGAGGTGTACTTTGGAAGCATAATTTCTAATTTTTTTGTATAGGATACACCTGCCACCTGTGTTTTCCTTTCTTGTCTCCAAGACTGTTTGAATTGTAACAATAAAAATTAGTATTTTGGCTCCTTTCATTTACTAGGTTACCCTTTATGTTGAAGTACCCTCTGCTGTTAACCTCTGGAGTGGGAAAGATTCAAACTACTATAATGTGGCTCCAGCTCTGTTTCTTTTTAGTTCTCTCTTATCTTAACCCTATATAAGTAGTCTTTTTTCTGATTTGAATTGTGCCCTTTGCAACTTTAGAGGGGATATTAGAAAATTTATGTGGAAAAGGATATAAAATCTTAGGATTTGGGTACTGGAGGAACACAACACTGAACACAGGGGCATCTAAACCACCCCCCCCTCAATATTCAACTGAGGAAACATTGTTAAAAGATTGAGGCTTGCCCAAGGTCATAGATTGCTGTTAATGTCAGCAAAGAGATTTGTACCAAAAGTCATTCATTATCTTTTGCCAGCCAGAATATTGTTTGCATTGTATTATTAACATTAAGGACTGGGCTTGAAGTACAAGAATGTAATAAAACAAACAAGTAAACAAATTTTAAAAACTTATTCTCTGCCCTCCACTGACAACCCAATATAGACAAGATAGGCAGACAGGAGCAAATGATGGTATACAGGGTTAAATACTGAAATAAATGAATATGCAGATTCACTGTGGGCATGTTGCAAATATAATGGCTATTGTAGATGAAAAGGTGTCTTAGAGTGACAGATACAAAAGGTGGTGGCTGACAAGCAGGCTAATTATTGCTAAGAAAGAATTGTGAAAGATTGAGTTATAAGAGGAAGAAAGGTGGAGTGAGTGAAGAAAGTTTGATGAAGTTTTCAAAGATGTTGATGGCCATGTATTATGGGAACCTATTAGAGCATTTTTAAAGCTCTTTGATATACTTAAATTGTCCTAGTAGGATAGATACTTTTAGTAGTATTTGTATTAGCTAGACAGAAGTATTTGAGTTAGCTAGTATGTAGAAGTCAGTAAGAGAGACTTGATGCACTGGCAGAGATAGTGATCAGGGAAATACTCGATTCAGAGAGGAAAGAAGTGATTTGAGAGGTAAGGAGCGATCGTTGTATATCCTCCTGCATACCTATGTAAAAGGACATTGTTAGCTTTTATGAGAAACTGCTTTTTAAAGTTGAACGTCTTGAGTGATCTCAGGGCTGGCAATAGAACCAGAGCTGCTCACCTTTTGTGTCATTTCTTTCAATCTCTATATTCCTTGAGCACAACCTAGTATAAAATCCTTTGTAAGATTGTCTTACCACTTTCATGCATATTAGTGATTCTCAAAGTGAACAACAGCATGAACAACACCTAGGAACTTGTTACAAGTGCTAATTCTTGAGTCCCATCTGAGACCTACTGAATGGGAATTTCTGGTGCTGGAGCCTAGCCATCTGTGTTTTAACAGACCTTCCACGTGATTCTGATAGATACTGAAGTTTGAGACCAGTGATCGATAGAATAGCATTCCTTACGTAACCTAAATTATTCTTCCATTTTTGCTGTGTCTGGTTCCAGTCCAGGTTGGGACCAAGTACCTCTATTATCTGGGATTCACTAGAGGTGGCGTGGGATTGGGATCAGTAGCTCTTTATCACAGGCACTAATGGCAGAGTATCATCAGGGTGGGTAAAATGGCCACAGCACTGAAAGATCCACAAGAGTTTCATTTATACTACCTATTAGACCTTGGAGGAGCAGAACTGAGAGTGACGTAAAACGTGGCTCCAATTAAGAGTGTTCGCTTAACTTAAATGAGAGTCCCTTGGGAACTGCACTCTGTGGAGTTGGGGCCATTGAGGTTTTCCTGTCCTCGTTTCTTTCTTTCCTGGCTCTAGCTGCATCCTACACAGATAGCTCTGATGATGAGGTTTCCCCCCGAGAGAAACAGCAAACCAACTCAAAGGGCAGCAGCAATTTCTGTGTGAAGAACATCAAGCAGGCGGAATTTGGACGCCGGGAGATTGAGATTGCAGAGCAAGGTAAAGAAAGGGAGTGGGTCGGGGACCAGAAACAGCCCACTTGCTGGTCATCAAGATCCACAGACAACTTAAGACTTAAAAGCCAACTTGAAAGTCTCATGGGAACATGCAGTATCCTGGACTTTTGTATAAACAGATCCCTGTGTATAGAGCTTGAGCTTCAGGATTCTTGTTCACCCTGCTTCCTCTTCTCAGCACGTGGTAATTACACAGAGTAGTTTCCGTTTTCCTCCCCCATGACACCATATTCAAAGATCTACTTGCAGAGTCAGCAAGTCCTGGATCACTACTACATGGTGTTTAGTTCTCTGGGATCTTACCATAGCTGCCAATTGCAGAGACCCAGATTTCCCAGAAGCAGCAAATGTGGGAGGGTTTTCAGCTAAGGATGTGGTGACTGAGGGTCTCGTTTGTTCTTTGGTCCTGAGCACCCTCTGCTGGAGCAAGAGTAAAAGTGACTGACAGTCAGTTAAATCTTGGTTTCTCCACCCCACTCCACTCTTGTTAGATCTCTTTACTCTTGTTGCTTTCACATGGAAGGCATGTTCTATACTAGGAAGGAGTACAGAAACCAAACAAACTGACAGAATAGGGTTAGCCAGCATAGAAAAACAGAAGCAAGTGGCTTCTGCTGAGGTTCAAGTCTTCTTCCTGGTCTGATGATTATCTATAGGAGTCCATTAGCCAATGCCATAACTACTTCTCTCTCCTCCCAGATGAATGAGGAGATGCACCCTTCATTTTGATCAGTTTTAAGAATTTACATCATTCTCCGTTCAGTCCTCTGCATATAAGGCTGAAACAGTAGAGGAAGACAGAAATCTCAAGTGAATATATGATAACTCCCCACTGTTGTTTTGCTGTTGAAGCTGCCAGTCATCGCAGAAATATGCTTAGAGTTTTTCTACCTTATCTCACCATCTCTCAACAGATCCAGACCAGCCCTGGATGTTGCTGGGGCCGGAATTGATATTGCTAGTGCAGACCTAGCTCAAATCCTCTGTTCTTTCACAGACATGTCTGCTCTGATTTCACTCAGGAAACGTGCTCAGGGGGAGAAGCCCTTGGCTGGTGCTAAAATAGTGGGCTGTACACACATCACAGCCCAGACAGCGGTGAGTTTGTTGGGAGAGAAGAGAGGGACTATCTGATGAGGGGAAAAAAGAAACTTTTTTTTTTTTACTTGCTTTTCCTTCCCTATCTATCCAACCTCCAAATACTGTTAGGTGGCACCTTCCTGTAACACAATAATGGGGTTTTCTACTTTGTTTATATAAGTATAACCTACTTTTAACAAACCTGACTTAGAGAGATCTAGATTTGTGAAAATACAATTGTTATAAAAATGTTATTAAGACTTAGGAACATATCTTTGGGGTGAAGTTAGAGACCAATGTGCTACCTATCTGGATTATACCCTTTTGTAACTCCCCAGTGTAACACTTGTTGTTGCAGAGTTACTGGTTATTCTTCTCTTATATGCCACTGCTGTCTGGCCCTCCGCTTCCTCACCCTGTCTTCCTGTACATCTATATAGGTGTTAATTGAGACGCTCTGTGCCCTGGGGGCTCAGTGCCGCTGGTCTGCTTGCAACATCTACTCCACTCAGAATGAAGTGGCTGCAGCACTGGCTGAGGCTGGTAAGTTCAGCTTTTTTCACCAACTTTGCCTCAAAATCATTATCTAAACGTAATTTTTATGTATCAAAATTAATAGTGTCATGGATGTCTAGGGGCTGTAAAATTTGGAGGATAATAAAAACATGAACAAGAAAAAATGGATAAAAAATTAAGGTCTGGATCCATGATGGAATATTATATAGTCATAAAAATGATCTTTGAAAAGAATCTACTTACATGAGGAAGTGCCCAATTCTAATGTTAAATGAATAAGGAAGAATATTAAATTATATGAGCTGTGTAAATATGCACTCAGCTGGTCTCCTTTCACCAAAAGTCCCATCACTTTTGAGAGAACACAAGAAGTGCCTTCTATGTAGATAGTTCATTAGATAATTTGATATTCTATATTGCATTGGAATATATGGACTACTTGTAAGTTCAATTAAATGTAAAACAATTTTTATTATTAAAATGTTCAGAAGAGGGGCCAGCCCGCTGGTGTAGTGGTTAAGTTCACGCACTCTGCTTCAGCGGCCTGGGGCTCGCAGGTTCAGATCCTGGGCGCAGACCTACTCACCACTTATCAAGCCATGCTGTGGCAGGCGTCCCACATATAAAGTAGAGGAAGATGGGCACAGATGTTAGCCCAGGGCCAGCCTTCCTCAGCAAAAAGAGAAGGATTGGCAACAGATATTGGCAACAGATCAGGGCTAATCTTCCTCGCCAAAAAAAAAAAAAAAAAAAAGTTCAGAAGAAAATCACCATGAAGTTTCTTTAAGAATCTCCCATCTTCCGAGGATCCTCAGAAAGCAACTTCATAACACTTCTGTTTTTCTTGTTTCCTCTTTTCTGGTGTTTGTTGCAGAAAATTTAGGAGGTTCCCAAAGAAACATAATTCTGCTACACAGAGATAATATCTGACATATTTTTCTTTTTTTCTGTTCACTTTTTTACAGAGATGAAGTAAATCTCAGTATGTATACGATTTTATAACCTAAATATAACATTTCAGAAGTCGTTTTTCGTGTCACTGAAGACTTGGACAGCATTATTTATAATACTCAGTGATATGGCCATGTGATTTTACTTCACTATTTTCCTGATGTTGAACATTTAGGTTGTTCCAAGTTATTTACTAATATAAAGAATGTTCCAGTGAATAACTTTGTTTTGATTCCCACTTTATTTACCTGCTTAGGATAGAGTTCCAAGTATAAAACTGGACAAAGAGAATAACATTTTAAGGTTCCAAAATACTTGCAAAAACAAAAATCCCTTAAATTCATAACCAATTTCTGAGCTAAAGGTGCTGTTTTGACTTTTGCCCATCCTAAATTGTTTCATTTCCAACATTGTTTCTGTAGCCTTTTTCTCTTCACGTGGATTTCAGAAAGTGGTATTAGTATAGGACACTCCCCAAAGGAGGAATCAGCTGATTTCTTTCCATCTCTACAGGAGTTGCGGTGTTTGCTTGGAAGGGCGAGTCAGAAGATGACTTCTGGTGGTGTATTGACCGTTGTGTGAACATGGATGGGTGGCAGGCCAACATGGTAATAATGCATATTCATCCTACACTTTTGACAATAGATTTGTTTCCATTTTCACCCTCAAAGCATGGTTCCCTAAATATGTTTTGGATGTTTGGTCTTATGCACTTAACTTTGTTGCAAAGTGTTTAGCTTGATACCTATTCAGAATGGGTCTGAATACTGAACAGAAAGGTGGGGGAAGGGTAAGACTAACTGAACACGTGTGGCTCAAACATAGCAGAATGGTATAGAAAGAAATGATGTGGTACCTCTTTGGAGTAGGATTCTGAATTCTTTCCTTCCTGCCCCAGCTTTACTTTTGCATTCAAAGGGGCTATATATTTCAAGATGCTGGAATAAAAATGAGCGTGTGATTAGCCTAATACTCTTCGCTATAGCCTAGAACAAACTTAGGAATCTTTTTAACCATCTTACACCAACAAAGTTGACTGTGTTTCCACTGTCTAAACCTGCTCTAAGGAGCTCTGAGGAGTGCTCTTCCAAAATACAGGGCTCTCTTACTAGTACAGAAAGTGGGCTCAAAGTTCCCCCCAGCTCTAGCAGCCTGAATGCCCATAGAAGTCTTCTGGCTGTTCTGTAGATCCTGGATGATGGGGGAGACTTAACCCACTGGGTTTATAAGAAGTATCCAAACGTGTTTAAGAAGATCCGAGGCATTGTGGAAGAGAGCGTGACTGGTGTTCACAGGTAACAGATTCTGGAGTAGCTGCCCCTTGTGTCCTTGCCTCAGCAAATTCTTCCGGTCTCTGTTAGGTTCTAGTGCTGTGTTTCACACTTGCAGTAACTAAATGGGAGTTATCTTCATTAGATAAAACTTTTGAGTTTTTACTTTTGAAAAATCAAGGAGACCCTAAAAGGAAGTTATTTCAGGTTCTAGTTCACACATTTTCCTCTCCCACTTATTCCACTGAGATTCTCAACCAGTGTTGGGAGGTAGGGAGTGAGTTTAAAATCTGTATTCAATATTGTATTATAATTTTATATTTGAAATATGAAAAAGAATCCTATTGTAAAACTATACATTATGTACACTACAAAAAGTAAAACTGGGGGCAAAATATTCTTGGCTTGTTGGAATACCTAAAAGATATCTGAAAGAGTGTTTCTCAGTTGGGGGCACATTGTATGTGCTCACACACAATTAGGGAACCATGTCAGAATCATTGATGATCTTGGTTTATCAGAAGTAGGCAGGGGTTTTTTAAAGATTGAGAAAGTACTGGTCTAAGGAAATACATCCCCTTTTATGGAAGAGAAGTAAATTTCTTCAATTGAAAAAGTTTTTTTCCTTCCAAAAAAGGGGGTGGGGGGTGGGGCAAGGGGATGGAGAGAAAATGAAAAGAAATGAGGAGGGATGACAAGGAAATAATTTTGTTTATTAATATCCTTGGGCAATAAATAAGACTGGGGAGGGCAGCATGGAGCTTGAAGAGCATTAGGCAGATTTTGCCATGTAGTATGTTTTACCAGTTAACTTTGTTTTTATTTGTTTTTGTGGCTTCTTCTTCCTTTAGGTTGTATCAGCTCTCCAAAGCTGGGAAGCTCTGTGTTCCAGCCATGAATGTCAATGATTCTGTTACCAAACAGAAGTTTGATAACTTGTACTGCTGCCGAGAATCCATTTTGGATGGGTAGGTTGAAATGTGTGGGTATTCAAACATATAGCGGGTGGATTTGGGTTGGGTTGCAATGTTAGTCTGATATCACTCCAGTCTTATGCCCTGGTCTTCCTTTGGCTTTCAAAGTTGGTCAGAGGGGTCCATTTCATAGAGAGCGCAGCCAACGTCCAGGTGGAGCTCTTGTGGAGCATTGCCTCACACTTGTAATTTTGTGCAGAGGGACTGTGTTTGAGCTAATGAGGGACTGTGTTTGAGCTAATAATGTTTGAGTTGAGCCATTGTCTGTTTCCACAGCCTGAAGAGGACCACAGATGTGATGTTTGGTGGGAAACAAGTGGTGGTGTGTGGCTATGGTGAGGTAAATAGCTGGGCCTCAGTGTCTGTCTTTTCATAGACTTATTAGAAATGTTGAGCAAAGGAGACTGTGCCGTCAGTGTAGAGTCACTGATGCAGGATTTAAAATATGCTTTTAGATAATGTATCTCAAAATAATAGCAAAAGTCCATTATTCAGATTTATGAATAGAGACATACAGAATGAATTGCATTTTCACATTTCATCACTTTGTCTTGTGGAATGGAATGTTGGCATTATTTCCCCCCAATTATAACAATAAACTTTTATGAGACTTAATTCAAGTGAATATGTAGCATTTTAGCTCCACAAGTGGCTTGCTATGGAGTGAAGGGTGGAATTCAAAGTGGCATGTAGTTGATTATCTCTAAACTAGAATAGGTGAAAGAGATTTTATTGTCATCAACAATGACCCACAGAATTTCCTGAGTTGCTAGCCTGTCCTTGAGTTAGAAGCATCTCAAATGAGAGTTATCAGGTTTTCTGGAATAAGAAACTAGAGGTTATAGCTGCTCTTCCTTGGTCTTGTTTCCCTAATGGTAACACTTGTATTTCCTTGATCTCTTTTGCTATCCCAAGCCCCAGCCCTTGCTATGAAATAGAGATTGTCTGCTAAGTCACCCCTCTGACCAAGGGTCACAGCATGATCTGGATCTATTTCTGCTCTGCTTGGGTTGGAGCATCCCTGCAAGGGCTCTCTAAATGAGGGGTGATTTCAGGGAGGTTAATTCCCATCTCCCAAAGAGCCTGCCAATCCCAATACCCAGGCCTTCATGGACCTGACAACCTCTCTTCTTTCTTATGCTCTGCAGGTGGGAAAGGGCTGCTGTGCTGCTCTCAAGGCCCTCGGAGCAATTGTCTACATCACAGAAATCGACCCCATCTGTGCTCTGCAGGCCTGGTAAGCACAGGCCTAGTAATACTGTTAGATTTACTCCAGGTACTTTATGTTTCTGAGCGTTCATGATTGATTGTATTAACCATTCCTTGCAGAAATCTCTCAAAGGAGGAAAAGGCTAGGATTGCTCTATTCCCTCATTGTAATCTCAGGGCACTCCTAGAGCTTCTTGGCATTTTCCCTTCCTGGATGGAGTCTCGGGGAGTCTGAAGAGGCAGTGTGTATAGTTTAGCACAGCTTACCCACTTATCATCCCTGTGAGGTAGCATTGGATCTGACTTTAAAAGGGAATTTACTTGTCTCATTTTGTGACCAGCTTCTGTCCCACTGCTTCCTTGCTTTGCTCATAGTGTTCCTTCCTTTTCTTCCAGCATGGATGGGTTCAGGGTGGTAAAGCTAAATGAAGTCATCCGGCAAGTTGATGTCGTAATAACTTGCACAGGTAAGTATCAATGCTTTGCGTACGTGGAGGAGTGTTAACTCTGGGGCTAAATCTTGAAAGTGGTCTGACTGACTTTCATATAAAGCAGGTGAGACCTGTGCTCAGTGTAAAAGTCTCAGAACTAGAGTAATCTATCAGAACCTTAACATGTTTTCCAGAACAAAGAGCGTTTTTCTCTGCTGGCTTTTTATACTACTCAATCTTAAAACCAATTAACTGAGCCTAAAGAGCCGTTATACAATGCACACTTCTTTTCTCACAATGTATACGTGCTCTTTAATGCCAGCAGACCTCCTCTCTTCCATGTTCTAAGTGAAAGCCAGTTGGTACCTTTGTTCCCCTGCAGCTCTTTCTTCAGCCACTCTCCTTTACTTTTAGGAAATAAGAATGTAGTGACGCGGGAGCACTTGGACCGTATGAAAAACAGTTGTATTGTATGCAATATGGGCCACTCCAACACGGAAATTGATGTGGTAAGGCTTCTCTCGTTCATTTATTGCTAGGCCTTTTTTCTCTTCTTTTCCTTATAGCCATAGTCAGCTGTGCTCTCTTCCTTTCAGACCAGCCTCCGCACTCCAGAGCTGACATGGGAGCGAGTACGTTCTCAGGTGGACCATGTCATCTGGCCAGATGGCAAACGTGTCGTCCTCCTGGCAGAGGTACACACACAGAAGGGCTCTGGCAGTGCAGCACCAGCAATGTAGTTAGATCCGTGGGGGAGAGGGGAGACAGGAAAAAATACTGGGCCTATGTTCACCTGAACTCTGTCTTTGGATAGAGAGATATTTCTCAAATGGTCTGGTCCCCAAAATAGAGTCACTCAAAAAATATGTACTTTTTACTAAGTAACATACTGTTTCCTGACTACAGCTGATTCTTCAGCTTGTCAGACTCAGATTGACTTACAGAAAATAAAATAGACCTAGAGTCCTAGTCTGGAACTGTAGTTCTTCCTCTACCAACTGAGCCTCGAGGGGTATAAAGTTTATGTCTGCATTTGCTTGACTTATATGACATTGGGATCTGAGACAGGGATAACACAGCTCATCCCAGGGCTCTCTTTTACTTTTTTAGGGTCGTCTGCTGAATCTGAGCTGCTCCACAGTTCCCACCTTCGTTCTGTCCATCACAGCTACAACACAGGTATGTGACAGAATGCCTGCTTACCCTGCATTAAGATTAGTGGAACTGGGCCAAGATCAGATTCCCATGAGAGTGCGCCCTGCTATGTTCTTATCAGCCTGTTCTTTTTTCAGATCACAAGTTGTCAAGATTTAGGCTTTCTCAAATATAGAAAAGAGTCATTAGTCACGCAGAGTCAGTATTTGTGTCCCTTTAAGTTGGCTGTTTTAGTTGAGAATATAGTGTTCCAGCTTAGTTGTATTTAGTCTGTTCTTTTATCTGGAACTAAACAAAAACACCAACAAATCCTCTTATGACGTATGCTGGCATTTATTACAGGCCAAGTTCTGGGTGCTATCACTATGGTAGATCACTACAGTACTTACCCCAAGACCCCAGAACTTGTTAAGTCTGGTTTTATTTTTATGTCCCTGTCACAGAGTGTTTCTGCGTTTTCTGACCCTCTTTTCCTGACTTAGGCTTTGGCACTGATAGAACTCTATAATGCGCCTGAGGGACGATACAAACAAGATGTATACTTGCTTCCTAAGAAAATGGGTGAGTGAAAAACAGTAGAAACCTATGTTGATTCCCCAGAGTGTTGCATGGTTTGGTAAAATGAATATTATGAAAACCATTGGATTTAGAGTCAGAGTTCTAATCCCTGTTCTAGCACTTAGTGGTTTTTGGATCTCCATGACCCCCAGTTTCTTTATCAGTAAAGTAAACAATACTGCATACATTGTGGAATTGTAGTAAGAGTTACAGCTAATGGGTAAAAGTTCTTAGCACGATGGTTTAGGGTAGATGTTCTTATTCTAAGTAGCCTTATGAAGTTCAGTAAACTTCCTACTACCACTGAGTACAGCCTGGGACCAAAAGGAGAGAAACAGAAACAAATACAAGTTTTATTGTCCATCCTCTGTGTAGATATGCAAACAACCTCCTGTCATTCCAGGAGACAACTGTGCTGTATTCATGTGACATAATACATCATCTCTAGTTCTTGACCTTTCTGAATAGTGGTGCCCATCTCCCATCTAAATCCCTGTCTGCTTAAAGCTAAAAATCTTTCTGTTCTCATCCCTTCCAACAGCATACCTCAGATTGGCTTATTTAAAAAAAATCATATTCATAAAGGTAAAGCCCAGGAAGCTTATCTGTGGAAAAGTAATGGATTTGTGCCAGCTGCCTTAGCAATCCATGATCCTAAGATTTGAGGCCTTTATGGATCTTATCCTAAATAAATGTTAATGACGCAGGGCTCTTTTACGCTTACTGGCATCCACTTTGATTCTTAACTTGACTATAATCCAGTTAAGGAAGATGAAAGTAGTGCATGGCATGTCGGCCACTGAGGTGAAGCTAGCTTTGCCAGAGAAGGATGGGAGGTACAAATCCACCCCATTTTGTCGCCCTGGTAAATGGCTTTCTTAATGCACTCTGGATGTACTGAGAGAAGTACCCTGCAAGAAAGGCAACTTTGGGGTGGGTTTTTGGTTTTTTTTTTGTTTGTTTTTTTGAGGAAGATGAGCCCTGAGCTAACATCCGTTGCCAGTCCTCTTTTTTGGCCGAGGAAGGTTGGCCCTGGGCTAACATCCGTGTCATCTTCCTCTACTTTATGGGATGCTGCCATAGCATGGCTTGATAAGCGGTGCATCGGTCCACGCCCGGGGTCCGAACCTGCAATCCCAGGACCGCTGAAGCGAAACGCACCAACTTAACTGCTACACCACTGGGCCGGCCTTGGTTTGTTTTATTAAGCAAATATTTTGAGTCGTAGATTCTTTCAAAGTTATTCCATCTCTTGTCCTCTTTCTCAGAAAGCTTCAGATGAAAATAAGGGGAGGTTATACCCTGAGAGGCATGTTTGAAATGGTCCCCTGCCACTTTGTTCTTCCTAGATGAGTACGTTGCCAGCTTGCACCTGCCATCATTTGATGCCCACCTGACAGAGCTGACAGATGACCAAGCAAAATATCTGGGACTCAACAAAAATGGGCCATTCAAACCCAATTATTACAGGTAACTTGGGGGAAAGCACCTGAAAAGCCCTTTTCTCCGGTATTAAACCAAGCAGGCTAACCTGCTTTCTTAAATAAAGTGTTATACCTGATTTTGAAAAGGGCAAGAACTCGGCTCTAAACTAACAGAGTAGACAGAGAAATTATGTGTCTAGTAGTAGATGTGAAGAAGTAAGGGTTTTCTAAAATTTTGGAGCTTGGGCCTCACCCTAGATATTCTGATACACTTGATCTGGGATGGGGCCCAGCCTATTTTGTAAAAGCTCCCCAGATTATTCTAATGTATATTCAAGGTTGAAAACCACTTACATTATCAGGGAGCAGGAGATAAAGCCAGAGATGGCATTGTCACAAACCCTGTGGAAGCACAGGGAAGAATGATCTCTGGGGAATGGCTGCAGAGATCCCAGCCTGGGCCGTGGGGAGACCCTGGGCAGTGTGCTCTGTTTCTGATTCTTCTCTTGGAACTCTCATGTGGAAGACACAAGTGCTAATCAGTTAATCTCTTTCTTTACAGATACTAATGGACCATATTACCAAGGACCAGTCCACATGAACCACACAACTCTAAAAGAGATTTTTTAAGATAACTTTAATTTTCTTCTTATTCCTTTCCTGTTGATTTTTTTTTCCCATAATTTCATTCTTATTTTTTCATCTCATTATCCAAGTTCTGCAGACCACACAGGAACTTGCTTCATGGCTCTTTAGGTGAAACTGAGATTCAAGGTTCCTCACCCTAGTCACTAAAGAAGGATTTTACTCTCCCAACCCAGAAAGGTGATTCTTTCTTTACTGTTTCTGGGGACTTTAGTCTTAATTGGGTACCTTATTAATAGGAAATGCTAAGGTACCTTCTATGTGGAACAATCTGCAATGTCTAAATTGCCTTAAAAAGAGCCCATTTCTTAGCTGTTGAAATCAGTGCTCTTTCACTTCTTCAGAGGAGCAGGGATGGTACCTACTAGCCAGGTAGGTTAGATGTAGGTGGTGCATGTTGATTTCCCCATGTGTTCCAAGCCCTGTTTCCTGTGTAAAGGTGGCATGTCTGGTTCAGAGATGTGGACTAGTGAGTGTTGCTTGTTAAGATCCAGTAGGCCCACTTGGATTTAGTACAGCCCTTCCTCCACTCCCACCGGACCTTCTCATTTTTCAAGTTGTTAACAAGACTGCACACTATTAAGTTGAATTTGTCCCATAGCATTTATTTCTGTTGTACAAAAAAAAGTGTAAGAAAACTGTTTAGTGTTAACACTGAGGAACTGCTTGGGTGGCTAGTTATCAGTTTCTCTTTTGAACCTTTGGAGCTAAGAGTGCAGCGTTGGGTCTAGAGAAATGCTGGTTCCAAACTCTGATAAATCCCTCTGTTTCTAGCCCATAGTTTATAGCATTAATGAACTGGGGCCAGAACAAATTCTATCAGCTCTGCCCCATACAGCTTGTGCTGAAGGCGAATTTCTTGAGCCATTACTCAGTATAAAGCACTGAGCTCTCTCTTTAGGATTTATCCTTTAAGGGCAAATTTCTGGTCAGCTGTGCTTCTGCAACCTAAAATATTTAAAGGGAGGAGGAAGGATAAATTGGGCCAGGGTGAGGGAAATCGAGCTCCGTATAATTTGCCTGGGACTTTAGGCCTCATATAACATTAGTTTTACAGAAGTGGTACCACTTTTGATTGACACATGTCACAAAAAGTTTATGAACTAAGATCTTAAAGGGCAGTTTGTGCGTAGAGAAAGGAATCGGTGTGTCCTGGCTCGTGCTCTGAAAGAATCCCCAGAGAGGCTCTCTCAAAGATCAGAGAGATGTGTTCCCATGCCATGCACCCTGCTTACCAGCATTTCTGCATGCTCAGATGAGCTTTAAGTATATAATTATCCACGATTCTAAATCCTCAACTTGTTCTAGCTTGTGATCCTTCAAAGTTGGGTCAGGCATTAGTGCTAGGTACTAGGAATTTTCATTTCTCTATTGCCATTGATCAGAGAGACAGACATGAAAAACAGGAATATAAGAAAGGAAAGCTTTGACCCTGCAACTTCCTAGCAGGGGACAGTGGTCTTGCCAAAACTTTTTTCCCTTTCCTCTCTTGTTTCTCCCCACCCAGTCCCTTTCCACTCCTTGCCAGTGTGACCATGCTTTCTTCTCTGTAGAGGTTAATGGTTCAAGCCCTTTTTCCCAGGGCATTTAACCAGCCAATCAGAACACCACATCCTTTAGGGGAGGTAACCTGGCCAATAGTGGTATCCATCACATCAGCTCTGCTGGAGGGAAGGGGCCCAGGTCCTGCTGCCCGCTGGCCTGCCCCCTGCTCCTTATCTATTACTGTGTCCATAGGAATAATAGGTAAGGGCTCCGTCTCTGTCAAGCCATGTAACAAAGGACACTCTGGAAAAATGTCTGGCATCAGAGGGAGCGTGTGGAGAGCAACTTGGGAGGAACAAGTTTATTTTGTATTGAATGATTTTTAATGAATGCAATATTAATTCTTGCAGATGAGCAATAATCATTAAAGTCAATAAAAGTGATAAGACCTTACTGGAAGTCTGTGTCATTCTTGGTTGAACAGCAAAACTTCATTAGAACCTGTTTTCTAGGGTCAGACAAGTCATGGGTCAGTTAGCAGTATCTAATAGAGGTTTGCTGAGGAACTCATATGTAGAGGACCAGGGTGGATGCAAAGTTCTTCAGTAATATCTTAAGTTTCAAATGCCTGCTCTGTGCCAACGCACTTTTGCTCTAACTTCCTTTGAGAAGCAGACTTGCCGCTTAAGCTTCAGGGCTCCTCACTCGCATATCCATTTCTAAGACCCTGTACCTAATTCTTTCTCTTAAAGAATGCCTACAAAGTTATGTAAGCTTCAGTCCCCTCCCACACACCTGTATCCATCTCCGAAGTTGTCTCCATGCTTTCTAATGTAACAATGTATCTATTGATAATCTTGTTAGAAAGCAACACCTTTTCTGTTTTGTTAAGTTGGTCCCAAGCAATGTTGATGATTTCTATGCAGGCTGGTAAAATGAGTGTTTTTAATTATGTGAGGCTTTATCCATGCACATAAATCCAAATTTAAGATAAACTTCATATTGCCTCATTAGAGATTTAAACTGTACTGTCTCGTGAATCTATTAGATAACTTTCCAGTTTATAAAAAGTTGTCTGTTATATGGTGGGAAAAATATCTTGAAGTTAAATATTTGAATATGAAGAATTTAAATGAACTGTTGACCTTATAGTTTCATAAAATCAATTCTTCAGAGTTTTTTTATTGCCTACTGTGTGCCAACGTCTTGTTTTAGATACTTCGGATACATTAGTAAAAATCAGAAGAGCTCTTCTTTTGTGGAGTTTACATAAAATTCCAACAAGACTCAGAATTCCCCTTTTTCCTTTACCCACAATTCCGCCATTAGGTAGAGCAGAGCAAGCTAGGCATCCGCATGGATTTGCAGCCTGCTGTGTGTGGGTGGGAGCCAGGGATGTGACCCAGTGCAGGGAGTCATCCTAAGTGGGATGGGGTGGGCATCCACAAAGGGGAGGGTGGCAATGGTAGATTGGGTAGGAACAGGGGACTTGATCAAATAAGCAAAAATATTAAGGATAATGGAAGCCAACTTTCTCCTTTTGGGAGAAGGTGTTACAAATTGGAAAGGGGAAAGACTAGAGTGAACTCTGGTGTTGGGTTTACATAGGAGGTATTGGTGTGAATACATGATTTTCAACATAAATATAGTGTGTGTGTGTACACAAACATTCCCTAGCTCTGTCTATTAAGAGAGCCTTGGAGCAGCAGTCTCCCTCTTCCCCCAATGCACTACACACACCTAGCATCCAGATTCAGGCATTATGTTCTCCACTTAAATGAGCCGAGACTCCAGAGAAATGTCTGATTCCATGGTTGGGCAGGAAAAGTACAAGATGAGCCAGAAAGCAAGGAAGGACTCAAAAAAGTGATGGGGCCATGTCAAAAGGACACAGAAGCCAGCTTTAAGGGACTTACAGTGAGCAAATCTGACATAATATGAGCATCAAAATAATGGCTTTAAACCATTGAATGAAATAGGAAACTGAATATAATGTGATATGAATGAATGAATGGTTTAATGAGGAATGGGATATGTACATAGTTTCAAAGTACCTCTCCATAAAATGTTTCTGAAGTACAATGCGGAAAAGAGTAGTTTTAAAGAGGAGAAGCCTGGCAGACACCTTAATCAAGTGAACAAATGAACATCAACAATGGGAGAAATCTAAATCCACCACTAGGAGGCATTGAGAAGGTCACAGCACCCCTTTTGTGACATTTCTGCCAAAGATACAAAACCTGAATGTAACCGTAAGGAAACATCAGATAATTCCACAGTGAAAGACATATTATAAAATAACTGGCCTAACGTCTTCAAAAGTGCCAATGTCGCCAAAGTCAAAGGAAGACCAAAGAACTGAAGAGACTAATACAACTACGTGAACTGAAATGGATCATTTTGCTATAAAGAATATTATTGGGATAACTGGTGAAACTTGGAAGGAGTCTGAGGACAGGGTGGTAGTAACATTAGTGTTAATGTCCTCATGTTAATGGCTGAACTGTGGTTATATAGAATGTTCTTGGTTGTAGGAAATAAACACTAAAATATTAGTGATGGGTCATCAGGTCAATGACTCTCAATGGTCAGGAAAAGATTATAATGTACTTGCTACCTTTTTGTAAGTTTGATTATTGCAAAGTTAAAGACAAAGGAGAGTTCCAAGACCAAAAAAAAAAAATCAGACTTTAGCTTCATCAATTGAGAAAATTAAAAAAATCTATTTGTTTAGGAACATCTTAGACCAGATAATAATAATAATAATAGATAATAATAATAAAGATAAAGCATTCTGGTTTAGCAAAGGAAATCAGTAGAAAAAAAATATTTTACATGCTTACACAAAACAAATATTTCACTGACAAATCCCAACAAAAGTAATACACAGACCTGGATGGTTCAACAGGAAGGTGGAGAGTGGAAGTGCAGTGTGATGTAACCACTCAGAGTGCTCCCTGGACAAAGCCTTACCTGCCAAATAACTTGTGATGTGGGAAATTCCAGAGAAATTTGTGAATTTTGGAAGAATGTAAAACAAGAATTGATATCAGTACTTACCTGCTAACTGGTTGTGAAACTGTGTTAGAGCAGGGGTCAGCAAACTATAGCCCTCCCATGAGCTGAATCTAGTCCACTGCCTGTGTTTGTACAGCTCACAAGCTAAAAATGGTTTTTATGTTTTTAAATGGTTAGAAAAAAATCATGACTAATATTTTGTGACATGTGAAAATTATATGAAATTCTAATTTCAGTGTCCATAAGTGAAGTTTTATACACAGCCACACTCATTCACTTATGTAATGTCTATGGCTACTTTCATGCTACAATGGCAGAGTTGAGTAGCTGCAACCAAATGACCCACAAAGTCCAAAATATTTACTATCTGGCCCTTGACAGAAAGTTTGCTGACCCCAGGCATAAAGGTTGTGTTAGGTATAAAGGCAAAGATGTGTTGGAAGGCATTGGTTTGCATTCTATTAGCAGAAACTGAGAGAACGAAAGCATTAGAAAGTAAAGGAGGGGCCGGCCCCGTGGCGCAGCGGTTAAGTGGGCGCGCTCCGCTGCAGCGGCCCTGGGTTCGGATCCCAGGTGCGCACCGACACACCGTTGTCAAGCCATGCTGTGACAGCATCCCACATAAAGTGAAGGAAGATGGGCACAGATGTTAGTCCGGGGCCAGTCTTCCTCAGCAAAAAAAGAGGAAGACTGGCAGATGTTAGCTCAGGGCTGATCTTACTCACGAAAAAAAAAAAAAAACAAGTGAAGGATATCAAACAATATTCTAGTCTAGGTAGCAGATGCTAAACCCACCTGCATCCCGGCCAGGATTCACTCTGTGATTAGGAAATCTCAGCAAACTGATAAAGCAATTTTAAAATTACTTGGGAAGGTAATTTGTGATTCCAATTTAGAATGTGTAATTGATCGATTTAGACTTAGTAATCAATTTTAAGCTGCAATCATATGTAGGGGCCGGCCCCAAGGCTTAGCGGTTAAGTTCTCGTGCTCTGCTGCTGGCAGCCTGGGTTCAGATCCCGGGCGCGTACCGACTCACTGCTTCTCCCGGCCATGCTGAGGCCGCGTCCCACATGCAGCAACTAGAAGGACATGCAGCTATGACATACAACTATCTGCTGGGGCTTTGGGGGAAAAATAAATAAATAAATAAAGTTATAAGCTGCAATCATATGTAAATATATGTAGTATTGGAAACTATATGCTATTGGAACTTATTAATAATAGTATTCTGTTTTTATTTTGTTTGCGTTTGGGTTGCCAGAAAATTGAAGTACTCCAAAAAGGAAATTGAATATAATAAATGTATAAATGCATTTGGAAATGTTTAAAGGAGTTTAAGTTTATAAATTGGATATTCAAATTCCCCTTAAAAGTGATTAACATTTGGGGACGGCCTGGTGGCGCAGCGGTTAAGTTCGCACGCTCAGCTTCGGTGGCCCGGGGTTTGCAGGCCCAGATCCTGGTCGCGGACCTACACACCACTTATCAAGAATCTTCCTCAAAAAAAAAAAAAAGTGATTGACATTTGCTAGATTTATAAATACAGTAAGCTCTATAAGCTGAACTTTAAAAAACAAGTAATATTTTAAATTTAATAAATTGAATATTAATTTTTTTATCTGAAGTGATGTCTTCTCTGCCCACGCAGCAGCCCTTGAAGACATTTTAAAATGTCCTCTAAAAAGATTTGTTCTGAACTGTGGGCTAGAGGGTACTTGTGTCTGGTCCTGGGGCCTGTTCTCATCCTGCTGTTCTGTGCATGGTTCTCTACTGCAGCCACCAGGTGGTGAGTTTTCTCACATTGTCTGCTTGTCAAACAGGGTCTCTGGCCAACAAAGGATAATAAAATACAGGTCCATAATCCCTTCTCTGAGAACTCTGTGTTTTGAAATTGAGAATATTTTAGATTTTTAGGAAATACACGAATATGCAGTACATTAGGTAATACCTATTGGGTGTGGAGCAGCATTCTATAATCAAATGTGTTAATATTTCTTCAATTAAGTTTATTAATATTCACAGAATAAGGGATAAACGAGGGCTATTAATAGCCTTCCATCAGTTCAGATCAGGTTTTGCAGCCAAATTGATTTGTGCCAAACTTCAGGGAAAATATTGATTTTTAGAATATTTTGAATTTTGGAGTTGTGGATAAAGGTTTGTAGCTCTGGAACAATAAGAGGAAGACTTACATAGTGTTTGCTGTGTAACTGGCTCCATTCTAAATGCTTTACGCAATTAGCATACTTGATCCTCACAATAACCCCATGAGGTATGTACTACTATTATCCCCATCTTACAGATGAGGAAATTGAGACAGTGAGGTAAAGTAACTTGCCCAAGAGTACCCAATTCCTAAGTTGGTGGAGCTGGAATTAACCCAGACAGGCTGGCTTCAGGGTCCATGCTTGATGCGAGGCAATATGGCTTCT